AAACAGGAGCATTTATTTCGACTACAACCTTTCATGGCCACGTGCGCTTTCATAAAATCAAGCAAATTTAGATACCGACCCTTGGTAGTGATTACCTAACCTCAAAAACATGATGGCACTTTATGTACAAAAGGTTTTTGCGACAGATCAAAGGCAAAAGACAGATAAAGAAGTTGGCAGCAGTCCTGACGTGACGCAGCGCGATGCAGCACTCCCGCAGTGCAATGATGCAATCACTCCCGCAGTGCAATGATGCAATCACTCCCGCAGTGCAATGATGCAATCGTATATTCATTGTTCAGAAACACGCATACATATTTCATAACGACGATATACGATATAGCGCTTTCGACAACAGTTAACACGGCGTCAAATGGGGGCGAGGCAGCTGCTCCTAATCGCGGCCAAGACAATTTTGAAGGGAAGAAGTCACGGCGTTGCGAAGGAAGGAATGCAGCGGAAAGCCGACCGGAAAAATGGCTTGCTTTTTGCTGCATATACTCTTACGGTCAGCTCTCGTAAGCAGTGAGGGCAATTTAGAACTCTAATCGCTTTTGAACCAGGGTGGGAGTGAGAAATTCCATCGCAAAAAGACCGCAGGAGGCAGAAAAATCAAGTTCACAAAAGACCGAACTTATGGGCTAGTGAGAGATGCTTCAGCAAACAAAGACATGCATTTTAAGTTGGCATGGACGTAATATCATAAACCTGACAAAACTGTTTTGTTTTTTAGCATCTTAAGCCATTTAAGCGGAACATAATACATTAACGCATAGTAATTTCATAACAGTGTAATGAGCGTCAAAAACTATGTAACACCAATTATCTGGTGCTGCACGTTGCACTTCTGTTCCATAGTATTTTTTTAAAACAAAACAAAGCAAAATAATTCAACGACAAAACAACAACAGAAAATTCAACAAGCATAAAACATTCTAACAAAAAACCTTGGACTCCTGCACATGAGCTTATCACCGAGTCCAACGCAATAGGCATATCTGGCTTCTGTTAAGATGGGGTCAGGGAAAACAAACCTTATATTACTGTTAGTTACAGAATACCAATGTTTATTTCCATGAAAGTAGCCTTACTACGCCTAACCTAAAGAGGTCTTACCTCATCCCATCCTATCCAGCCTGTTTGTATCACAGCAGCATTTGTAAGTCACTGATTCTTGCATAATTCCTATTGCCACTTGTCATGCAATTAACTAATTTAACCTAACTTAGGGTAGCCCATGTATTGAACATCATCTCCAGTCTTACTAAAATCCATACAGTTCTGCCTATCCTTGAAAATTTGTAGCTCTTCCCCCAGAACTATATTTTCACTCCTCAGTTCTGCACACATACTCTGCACCCTCCCTAGGTCTTCCTTCAGACCCATAATCTCCTGACTAATCAGCTCATACCCGTATTCTCACTTTCTTGCCATGGAACTCATTTTTTTATTTTTTTGTTTGTTTGCTTTTAAGCTGTTTGCTATTCTTTATATTCTTGTGCTATTAAGCAAACTAGCACTCACACTACATTACTCAGAACCCTATTTAACAAGTTGATTTCAACTCAGAATGGCTTATTCTAATTTCTCTTAATTCCAAATGACGATGACCGCAGATATGACGTCACTAGCGGTAGAAGTAAATATCTGTCTGCAGCAGGTGGTCACTGCAGAATATGCTGCAAAAAACGAATTGAGATGCGGCATGTGTGAAAAGACCACCAGATGAGTTACGAAAATACATCGCGGGAATTCGGGAGATTGTACTCCGTCTCTATACTACAGCTCTTGAACGACAGATAATTGCTACAACCGATAACCATCACTCACTGGCTGCTTCCGCCAGCTCGAGCTGCACCTGTAAACCACTGTGCACGCTGAGTTATTTACCGTTATACATCGAATGGCACTCAGCCTTCGCTGTTTCGTGAGTAGGCGCTATCAAATTATCCCGATCTTGTGTGGCCTTGCCACCTGGATGACTGCGTGGGATGCAGTGGCAGTGAGTGGTGGACGACGTTAAGAATGTATGTGGAATGGTGCCACGAACACGTCGACAACGTTAGGACTCTACTTGCCAGCGTGAACGGTGAACATGACCTCGATCAACTGCACCAGCTGAGCGGTCCAGATCAGCTGACAAGCGCAACTGAGTCTAAGTCTTAGCACCGAATGGAAACCGTTAGGCTGCATCATTCCAGAAGGAAGAAACTGTTACAGTGAACGTTTCAACGTTTTAGTCCTCCAGCCAGTTGGACACAATGAAGTGCCCAAAGTGAGTAGAAATAACTTGACTGCACCAAACGGTTTTGACATATTCAGAGACCTAGTCTTGCAGCAAAAGTTGGGGTCTGAACAGGAAGAATAGCTCAACCCACCACTAAAAAGTATTGAGAATTGGGTCTCTCTCCAGACTTAGCCGCCTTCCCCTCAAAGCTGAAGGGGGGGGGGGGCTGAATCCCAGGCAACTGAATGGGGAACCATACCGCTAGATTTGTGTTGCGATGGCCTGTGTGGTGCTGGAGCTTATCAATCTGAGTCATCGGTTCTATGTTTGCTCCTTACTTTCATCACCCGGGTTGCTACATCCCGTCAGAGACAATCACCGGGCGTGGCCCGGATTACCATATGGGAGCAACGAATGCATCTGTTACATCTGTCAGGTGCGTGTGGACATGATGTCCTTGCATCAGAGAAAAATGCTGCGATGTTGAAAGCTGCACTTTTCCAACCCTAGCTCCGGGAATTCGTCGCACGTCGCCAAGGCCTCACCGTGGGAAGGAAATTGGGAGTGGTGTGAGTTGTGTTCCAGCGGCTTTGAGATCTAGGACCACCGCACGCGTGCCTAAAGGTCGGCCCGGCCCGTACACGGAGGTCAATGCTCTGCTAGCAACATATTGCGCGAAGCGGCTTTGCTGTAGCACGGTGTGCAGCAGGTTCATAGCACATCTGTTTGCACTTCCTTGACAATCACAACTGCATCACATTGAAAATGGTGGCTACAATGTGGTCTGGTGGCCATAGCAGCTTCCAGGCACATCCGACGCATTGCAGGACCCCTGTCCCACTGCCTCCTGCGGCCGCGGCCGTGTTCGGACAGCTCTGATGCGACGAAGCCGTCTGTGACGTCACCTAGCCGTGCCGATCAGTGTGTCCTCTGCAGTCCAGCGCGGCGCTCCCACGCGACATCACGCACCCTCCGCCGAGTTCATCTCGGCGCCACCCATGACATGTACCCCTGCCAGGTCCAGCCACGCGGCCGTCGCCTGCGTGGTGCGTCTCCCCGCGCGGCACGGGCGCACAGCCGCCCAAGGTGACGGCAGTGCGTGAGGGCCCGCCGTCCGGAGAAAGCCGCGCACAAGGGCTCGGGGCGGGGCCGGGCGCCGCCGCACCGTCCCCGCCCGGCACGGCGCGGCTTTTTCGGCCCCTGCGGGTGGCGCGGCGCTGTTCGGTGCTATCGTGCACGGCCGGACGCTATCCAACGGCGATGGCGAGGCGGAGTCGTTACACAGAAGGTCACTCCCTGGCCGGCACGACGTCGCCCCGCCGGGCAGGCGGAGCGCACGAGCCTCGGGGGACCGACGCGCACCCGATGGGCGGGACGGTGCCTGAAGAGCGGGCGACGACTTGGTACGCACTGGCGTCACGAATACGGTGTCATTTTGATGTAATGTGGAACAGCGGCCTTTGGATGCTATCACACCCCATGGTTACTCAACAGTGAACTTGGACTGGACTGGAGAACAGGCTGAGGAATATGGTTGTGTCGCAGCAGCAAAACGTCCGCATTTTGTAAGAGCTCGACGAGGCTAATGTACCAGAGATGTACATTGGCAATACAGCGTGGCAATAGCTGCGATTTATGTTACAAGCAGAAAGCGTTTTGTGTTCCGTCTTGCGTTCAGCGTTCGTTCTTACGTTTCAGACCCATTTCCGGATTGGTCCGTGTAGGATCCGTCTCTGATTGAGCAGTGTCCGGTGTTGAACACAGGAGCGTTGCTCCGGTTTCGTTTCAACGTTGAAACTTCAGGGACATGCGTTATGCGTGCGTACCTGGCTGCCCCTGACCTCCCCACTTAACGCGCGCGCTCTGTGTGACAGTGGTCTGTCAACCTGGCGGTGCGGTCAGGACAAATTCTCCGTAATGGCGGGTTCCGCGGCGGATCCCTCGGTGCGTGTCCCCAGCCACATCCGCGTTCTTCCGCGGTGTTCGTGTTCCGCTCGAACAGGTCTGGATGACCGAGCGAAGGCGACAGCGATTAGCACCGCGTCAACCCCGGGCCGAAGCCGCAGTCGGCTGGAATGCAAGCCACTGAGGCACCGCAAAACCGCCTGCGGACGGTCAGGTGGTCAAGGCCGGCGGTGCACGAGCAGGGTGGGGCGTAGGTCCGGGAAATCCCGCCGGACTCGCAGAAACCAGCAGCGGGTGAGTATCCCATTCAGAGGGCCGCATGCCAGCTTCAAGTGTGTTGCCGTTCGTACAGCAAGGGCGTCCGACGTTCTTTCTCTGCAAAACATGCAGTCGCCAGATTACGGGCTCTTAGGCAGGCACGCGATCATTGTTTGTCCGGGAACAATGATCTGCAGCAATTGGTGATGAACAATTGGCAGAGGCCGAATTGAATGCGGGAAGTTCTCGGGGCAAGTGCATGGTAGCTGGGAGGAGACGCACCTTGAAATGATAAGACAGAGCAATGCACCGAGCTTCTTTTGCGTTGGCCATGAAGTGGTGAAAGTTCATCGCACAAAACGCCTGCCGTTCTCGATAACTACGCGCTAGCTAGCTGTCTGCTGACAAGTGGACATCAACCCCGCGACTGTCAGAGCACAGCGCGCCTCCGCAGTCCGGATTCGGACCGACCCCGCCTGGTCAGGCCGCCAGCTAGTGGTCATGTATGCCCGCTGACCTCCCAGGGCGGCCCGGGTGCGCCCTCTCCCCGCCTCTGGGTAACGAGCAGCGCCGGGCAGAGCGGGCGGCGGGCCGGCGCCTGGCCGGGAGGAGTGCGCGGGCCGCCGACGCTCTAGTTCAGCCACCAACTCGGAGAATGGGAGTATATAAGGAGAGCGGCGCGTGTGCGCGCGACACTCGGAGGAGATCGCCATGAAACTGGTAAGTGGGGCACACCTGAGGAATGGCAGGGGTACCGACGACGCAGTCCCAATGCTCCTCGCCATGAGGCCCCCTGACAGTAGGCTCGGTATGGGTGCGGCTTCGCGCCTCCGGGCGCTTCACGCTCAAACTATTGCTCCGTTTCTGCTTTCGATCTCTCCGTATTCCGAGGTCAGCAAAAGCACCATGGCGTTCGTTTGACGCAGCGCAGCGCCTGGAGCGCTTGACCCTATTGCTCAGCTTATGATCTTTGCTTGTGTCCGCGGCGACTCTGTCCCCGTGTCTGACGTGACGCTGTCGCTCAGTTCGTGCTCGCCGCGTTGGTCGCCGTGACCGTGGCCGCACCTCAGGGTGCCAGGACGGCGTCGTCCACACCCATCCCCATTCTGGAGTACCAGAACGACTTCGGCGGCGATGGCAACTACCAGTTCAGGTGGGTAGTCGGCTGGCCGGCCTGGTGCTGTGACGTCACGCCGGACGGGGTGACGCAGACAACGCCGTGACGTCACTGCGCCAGCCAGCGCCGACCCATCGCATTACAGCTCATCACGGCGCTCGCTGACGGCAGTGATCCGTTGCTACTGATTGCGCCATTGGGCTGTAGTCATGGGACCTTGATATCCTATGGGATGACAGGTTCAAAGATGGTGGAAGAGAGGGGCCAGCGATAGTCTCTGAATGTTTTACATTGATCGCTATCCGTTCCAAACCCGTCAATCCGTTCTCTGGAAGGCCGCGGGTTGATAACCACGTGGAAACATTTTTTATCTCCCTCCACACTTTTTACTCTCTCAGCAATGAATCGATTAAAAACGGGGAAGACCGCATGTGTGATGCATTTTCCTCGGCTGTTATCCAGTTGTTGGGGCTTGTGACTGGCCTTAACCCACTGCGGCGCCGGAGATTCGATTTACCGGTTGCTGTCGCCCTCATTGTAACCAGCAGCAAAGAATCGACATTCGTCCATTTACGAAATTACTTGCATGCACATGGCAAAACCTGTTTGGAACCTCCAGATCATATCGAAAATACTCAGACGCGGTGTTCTTGTCCGGCTCCGCAGGTTTAAGACTGGCAACGAGATCGATCGCGAGGAAGAGGGGGCGCTGAAGGAGGTGGTCGTGCAGAACGACGAGGGCCAGGACGAGGTGCGACGCGTCAACGTCGTCAGAGGAGTCATACGTTACCCCAAGGAGGACGGCTCCTTCTACGAAGCTCAGGTGAGTATCGACCGCTGAGCGATGGAGATGAGTCGCGTCTGTCTCGGTCGGGCGGGCTGGACGATAGCCGCAATAGGGATCATAGGTAGCGACGCCAGATGAGGTCAGGGTGGAAAGGTGGCGGAGCGTGCTGACTGTATGATGAGGCGCACCACGGTGAGCAGCATTAACCCCTTTAGGTGGTGTCACATCGCACAGCTGACATTTGCTGCTCCGTTACGGTGACGACAGCCTTGAAGATCGCCCCCGGAACAGTCTAAACTGACCTGTTGCGGCTAGAGCCGGGCCACCTCATTGAAAAGCTCAGGCGTAGTGTTCGTCTTCGCTTGCTTTTTGCTCTGCGATGGGTCGCCGAGGACCCGTGTCACAACCCAAAAATTGAAAAGACTATGGCCGATGCCTGTCACCGCCGCCCGGAAAAAGCAAGAAGCTGATTGATGCGCGAAGCGAGCGCGGCCCTGGCCCCGCGCTAAGATCACCGGTCGTCCTTCTACGAAACCATAATCGCCAGGCGCCGGTGGCGGGCGAAGGGTCGCATCGCACGATCCGAAGGCCGACGCAGGGACGATCGATCTGTTATGGCGGTCAGTGGGTTCAAGGTCACACGCCTCAGCGGCCCGTCCCGTTATGTGCACCACTGGGCGAGCGCCCGCAGCGGCGCAGACCACTTTTACTTTCCCTTGCGCCGCGAGATGTGCGACCGTAGTCCCTGGCTGTAAATTGCCTGACAGCACGGCGGACTTTGTTTGGTTTGGTTGGGATTAGGGCCGTTTCGGTCAGTAATGACCACCTCAGGGCTATGGGATGAAGGAGAATGGAGGGTGGTAGGGCAAGATCACATGCCTCCGGGAGTCCTTTGCTACTGGGGTGGGACCGCTCAAGGACCCCTCGCCGTTTTTTGCGCGGGCATAAGAGGAAGGGAGGGAGGACTCCACGGGACCGCCCGGAGCGCACTGGTGCTCGCTCGTGACTGGTGTGTGCAGCCCACCCTGGATGAACAGAACGCTGCGGAAATGCAAGATGAACTGGTGAATGGCGGGAGACGAACGGATGGACGGCGGGCCCGGCTTCGGACTGCCGGGCACACACTACCGGGCCCTTGACGCGAGAGGTGCCGCGTGTGAGCCATTCAGCTCAAAGAGAGCTCAAAGAGCTAAAAAAAGCCATTCAAATTACGACTGCCTGTTACAAGAATCGTCATCGGCGATTTCCCTCGACAGTTGCAGGCACGCGATCGTGCTAAGGCCGGCGCAGTGCGTGCGAGGTTATCAAACGCGCGCACCAGGCTGCGACAGCGGTGGCGGCCGCCAGGTCACCTTTGCGGTGAAAGTGATCTCGCTGACCCGCCCTTGATTACAGCTACATTGCCGACGAGCTGGGCTTTCGGCCGGTGAGCTCCGACATCCCGACGGCGCCGTTGCCTTGAGAGACGCGCTCGGCCCGGGGGGAGACCAGCGGAGATCTGTAGCGGAGACGACGGAGATCTGTAGCGGAGACGAGCGGAGATCTGTCGAGCATTCGAGACTCGAGACGCTCGAGATGCACCGTTCCAGCCACGCGCCCCACCGACCGCCTGTTTTGTTGTGTCGTACAAGGATGTTCTTGACTATGTGTTAACGCGCGGTTGCGCAGGTTATTTCAATAAATATATGTTTAAGTGTCTGTTGTCTGTCTTTTGATGCCTCTGTTATTTGGCAAAAGAGTGATTCGGAGAAAACATATCTCAAAAGTATTCCATTAGTTTTCGCTATCCATGATCTTCGCTACCAAAACTTCAGGGTGTTTCTGTAGTGCTACAGTGAGGAACATCTTCGGGTGACAAGTACGAATAAGTAACCGGCTCCTACAAATAGAGTCAAATTTTGCAGCAGCATAAGTCATGCAAACCTCAAGGAGTAACTGCCAAAAGGAATGAAAGTCGTGACTTGCCTG